AAACCTGATGATAAAGTTGAATAAAAATCTAAGTCTGATTCTGAAGGTAAATTAAATCTCTGACAGTGATCATTACACAGTGTGGCTCTAATTCTTCACTTCACCATCTGTGTCGCAGTTTCCTGTCTCCAAAATGAGCGTACACATGGGTCAGAGCTGTTTAGTTTTATAAATCACAACCTTTGCGTGAAAAGCTGTGTAAAAAAGTTTCTGGGCTCGTTTTGTGCGTACGCAAGTTTTATAAATCTGACCCCCGAGCCTCAAAAAGTCAGACCTTTATGTTAGGGATGCACCAATATTTATATCCCATATAATTATTGGTGTTGTGGCTGATAACTGATATTTACCCATGTTACACAAACACACATTATTTACATACATATACGCACAAACACATTGTGTCTTTGTCAATCCTGTAAAAACACACCAGACCTCTGACATCTCTCTACTTCAGTTATTCCTGGCTGCAGCATCATTATCAAACAGATACATGTCCCCTCACAAAACAGAAACACAAATTTGTGACACAAAAAAAGTGTTAAATCAATATCAGACATTAATATTGGCCAGTTTTACTAATCGGACAAGTATTGATGTTAATGTATCGTGCATCACTACATTTAGTATAATACTAATAGTTTCAGTGCAGAGATGAGTTGTGTCACACAGTTGTTAACACACTCACCATGCCCTTGACTCCCTCTGGGAAGAGAAATCTCTTGTAGATGGTGTTGACGGTGTCGTTTGGATCGACGTCACACTCTCTCTGCAGCAGGATGGGTCCTGTGTCCAGCCCGTCATCAGCCCAGAACACTGTGAAACCCCCCTTTTTGTCCCCGTGGATCAGGGTCCTGGAAGGTTCAGTTCAGCAGGTGAGAGTCTGACCAGGTCCCAGCAGCAGGTGAGTCTGAAGCACAGCCCTGAAGGTGGTGGACTCACTCACCAGTTGATGGCGGAGGCCCCTCGGTGGCGCGGCAGCAGGGAGGGGTGGTAGATGATGGAGCCGTGTTTGGGGTGATCGATGACCTCCATGGGGATGAACTGGGAGCAGAAGGGCAGAACATTGAGCTCTGCTCCGGTAGCTTTGTACTGATCCACCACTTCTGGGATGGCCTGGCCCTTCACTCTCCAGCGGGGGAACTTGAAGACCGGGACCCCGTCCTTCTCTGCCTCTGAGGCTGCAGAGAGGAGAGAAACAATTTGTGACATGTAGGGGTCACCTCGAGTGAGAAAACAAGATTTTATGCCTCTAAAATAGGCCTCGGACAGGCCTGGGAAGAAGACAGGAACTCTGTTCCACTCCGAACTTTATTCAGGCCATGACAGGTCATTCTAACCGTGGAAGAGAACCTCTCTTCCTCTTAATCTGATAATGGACAGAATAATCTCCATTGTTCGTGATTCATTTGTCATTTAACCAAAAATGTTTATGCGTTTGTTAAATCAAAGATAATGCCTGTCACATGAAAAAAGTAGAACAACTTCTTTTCTCTTATCGTGCCTTAAAGGTTTATAATGGTACTAAAGAATCACAGAGAATGTGATTACAATGTTTTTATTGTGTTTTTATGCAAATCAGTGTTTTTATTTTTACTGTAAACACAGTAATATAATTGTGGATTTTTCTTGAGAAAATATTTCCTTTATCTAAACTAATGAATGGTTTAGAGTTGAATATGAACAGAAATGTTACATGTCTGAAGTAATCATCATAAAATGTTTTTCAGTGATTTCATTTAGAGTCCCATCAGAGGATAAGTTAGTAGGTTATCATGATATTTGTTTATTCAACCATACAACGCTAACCTTGGCTGGCACCTGGCACAAGTCTTAACTGTTCTTTCTTCTGACTCATCCTTGCGCCAAGAGGCAGGACCAAAGTGGTCCGTTCTCATACTAACACCGGACGGCTTTGAGCAGTTGACACTGACTTCCTGACTCAACAAGGAAGAAGCTGTTTCTCCTCTTCGGAGGATTTCAGCTTAGGAGCTGTTAACCCCAACTCACGAGCCAACGAGGGGGGTTACCGCTAGGAACTCGACAACGCCTGTCGAATTCCCCCGAGGTTTCAAACCTCCAAGCAGTTATTGATTTTTCCCTTCCTTTGTGGAAGTGATTTTATTTTGAAGGAGAAACCGGATTAGCTCTCTTTTCCGTCTCGGAATTGACGCAGACCCAGAAGGTTACCAGAGAAATAACGTGTTTTACCGATGAAGGTGAGCGGACCTACCGAGTCTTCTTGACCAATCAGAGGTGGACCAGTCTTACTACTGGAAGGTGCCTGAGAAGTCATCAAAGGTAAAGAGGCTGAGAGTTTATGGTGAACCGGAGTCCGGCCGAAGCTGAGTTGAGAAGGGGGTGCATATTCGGTTGGCTCTCACACTTGGTAAAAGTAAACAGTAGAAATACAAATCTTACTTTTTCCTTCTTTTGCTTAAACTATTTTGCCTTGCCAGAATCTAAGTTAATGTGCCAGTAAAAGTTTGGTTTATTCAACACCAGAACTGACGTTTTGCTGTTCTATCATAAGTAATTTGAATTGATATTGATTGAATTCGGATGCAGATTTACTGTATATCTTATTAATTCTGAAACTTGTTATATGAAGCTGATTACCCACAATTAAGTTGTTAACTTAATTGTTAAAAAAAAGCCGCTGATGATGAAGAAGCTAAGATGCTAATATTCACATATTCAGTTCTGCTCTCTACTGAAGTGGCACAAAAAAGTTGTTAACTCATGATTTGTTTTAATTTATGTAAATAAACAATCACATATTGTTTATGGGTCAAATTGAACTCATCTGAGATGTTCCACTTATTGTGTGTCTGATTCACTTTGCACAGTCAAGATATTGATGAAAAATAAGAAGAATCCTTGGTAAATAATTTCCTCACAACCTTGTTATGAGAGGTGTGGAAAACCTTATATTTCTATAAGCCTATCATCCTACACATAAAAACACAGACCAAAGCTGCAGGATGTAAAATACTGACTCAGTTTAAAAACTGCTTTACTCTGAGGGCAAATAAATAGATAAAATGATGTCACTCATGTTGCAGGAGTTATTATAAACACATTCTAAAGGAAACTCTGCTTCTCAAAGCTTCTGATCAACAGAGACAGATTTTACTGTTCATTTCAATAAAAACATGGTTTAAGTAAAGACTAAGTCTGTTTTATGAACATTATGAAAAATATATGGTAATTCTGTGCTCAATAAAAAATATTCAAGTAGTTTAACAAATGTTCTAACTTTAGTTTTTCCAGAAGACAGTCCAGTAATTCTGCTTCCAGGACCTGTTTTAAACAGAAAGGATGAGCTCATCTGCTCCTGCATGGATCTGATTGATTAGTTATTAGACACAAGGAGAATTTGATCAAGCAAATGGACTTTGTCTGTTCTCCCAGTTTGTCTTCATCTTCCACACAGTTTTTATAGAAGTTAAACTATGAATTGTTTTCAAAAGGAAAAAAATTGTATAGGTCCTCTGGACGGGTTCTTCTTTAATGAAACGTTTCGTCTCTCTTCCAAGAGACTTCTTCAGTCTGAGAGTTTCAGGCAAAATTCAGGCTTTTTTAATATGCTGTTAAGTGCCAGGAGGACTGCGACCAGTTATACATCGGGGAAACAAAGCAGCCACTGTTCAAAAGAATGT